TTATAAGATAAATGGTCGTGCCGGATGGATGGACAGACAGACAACAAAGTGATTCTATAAGGGTTCCAGTTATTTACTTTTGAAGTACGGAACCCTAAAAATATGATCTCGAGTTCCGTGCTCCGGAAGGCATGTTATGCCGTTGATCCCGGCTGCATCTGCAGTCCTCAGCATCCACCAATCTCCCATTTCCATTAAAGTGAAGATCTGTGCCCCAGCAGTAATAGGTTGATGCTTGTGATGTATAATGTTACAAAATCAGTTTTCAGTAATTGCGTCTGCTTATTCTTTGCCTTAAAAAAAATTGTCTAGTGTTGCCAACGATACGATGGTCACAATTTTTTCGGGTTATTTCTTGTCCTATCATTCTGTTTACAAGGATATCCGTGATCATGATACTTGTTATATGCGTAATGTATAATTTAAACACATAAATCATTAATGGTTGCTTGGTTTATTAGGGATTTAAAACACAACATTATAACACTAAACACAGCGAGACAATACAATACAACCACAGACAGTGAATCATAGATATTAATCATTCATCTTATTTTTTTAAAATTGTTTATAGCTTTGGTGATACATCACCTCCCCTTTTAGACTTAAATCATAATTAAGTATTTCTAAAGTTTATAAATTCAATCTATTTAGTGGCTTGACAATTCTGCCACTTCTAGTTGTAATTACATGTGTTTCTGGTAAAGAATGGTTGCTACTGTTCAAGTATTCATTATTACACAAATTTTCATTATCAACTATTTTTTTTAAATAAATGGTACTATTATTACTAGTATATGATTTTTTTAAATGTTTTATATTTCTCCTTATTTTATTTTCCTCTCCTTCCTTTTTAATCCAATATGATCTTGGCTCCTTACATTTTCCAATTATAGTTCCTTTTCGCCAAAACATGTCCTTATCAGTTTTATGTACTATTTTATCACCTATTTTATATTCATTCTCTTTTTTTCTAACAATATTTTTCTGTTGAGAAAGCGACTGTTTTAATACTAAAAATTTATGAATATCGGGCACAACCTTTGAATCAAGTAGCTTTGAATTTACAGGTATAAGGGTACGGACTCTTCGACTATTTAAAATTTGTGAGGGAGAATATTCCAGTCCAGTTACAGGTGTATTGTTATGACTTAACGAATAGTCTCTGTAATCCACTCTATTTTCATATGCTTTTTTCAATATAACTTTACTTATGTGTACAGCTTTTTCTGCCATCCCATTACTTCGAGGATAGTGTGGACTACTTGTTGTCAATATTATATCCTTCATTTTATAGTATTTATGACACTCATGTGAATTAAATGGGTTATTGTCTGCAACAATTTCCTCAGGGTAACCAAACCTCATGAATACTTCTTTGAATGCATTTAATACAGAATTAGAAGATTTATCATTTAAGGGCAAAATTTCAAGCCAATGAGTAAAATAGTCTACAATTACAAGGTAAGGCTTGCCCATAAAATCTAATATGTCGGTATCAACTTTTGCAAATCTTCGATTTGGTATTTTATGGCTAATTAAATTGTCATGAGGGTTGGCTGACCTAAATTTTTCACAATTACGGCATCTCATTACATAATCCTGAATATCTTTAGTGAGTCCAGGCCAATAAAACAATTGTCTGGCTTTCTTTATGCTTTTACAAATCCCGGGATGACCTTCATGAACTAAATTCAGAACATATTTTTGTAAAGAAGACGGTACAATAATTTTATCATCATAAAATGCTAAACCAGATTGGAAATATATATTGTCTTTTAACTTAAAAAATTGTTTACAGTTATTTAAAACTTTATGTTCAGTAGGTCATCCCTTTAAATAATACAAATACAATTGGCTTAAAATCAGATCATTTTTAGTTTCATTTATAATTTTTTTTTTCTTTCTGAAGACATGGGTAAGTGTGCAGTTACTGTGTGGACCATTTGCAACATATGTTTATCATTCTCAGTATAATTTAATTTATTTCTTGATAGCATGTCTGCAAAATGCAAAAATTTACCTGGTATATAATATACATTTAAGTTTCAGTCTCAAACGTTTTAACCTAGGTGACCCAATTTTCGAAATTGGCTTTGACATAATAGATACAATTGGTTTGTGATCAGTTTGTACATCAATATTAGTGCCATAAATATATCTATGAAATTTCTTGACTGCAAAAGTAATTGCCAAGAACTCTTTCTCAGTCTGGCTATAATTTTCCTCTGTCTCATTCATAGTACGCGAAGCACATGCTACTAGTTTTATTAAATTTTTACTATCATATTTTTGGAACAAACAACAGCCAATACCATTTTTAGATGCATCACATTGTAAAATAATTTTCTTTTTAGGGTCAAATGGTGTAAGTGATGGTGTTTTACAAATATTTCTTTTTAGCTCAGCAAAGGCCAATCTATGAGCTGGTAACCAAACAAAATCAACATTCTTTTTAAGTAATTTAAGAAGCGGGGCCATTATATTTGCCATATCAGGTACGTATCTACGCACATAGTTAAATGACCCTATAATTTGTCTTAGTTCATTTTGATTAGTTGGCTCTTTTAAGCACAATAAAGACTCAATTCTGTCTTTATCTAGAGACATCCCGTTTTCATTAAAGACCTGCCCTACATACTTTACTTCATTTTTTTTATATTGAAATTTATTTTTGTTGAAGACAATTCCTAATTCCTTAGCCTTACTTATAACATTTTCTAGAGCTTTATCGTGTTCTAATGCTGTATTTCCCATCACTAATACGTCATCGGCCCAAACTATGACATTTGGCATGTTCCCGAAGTGATTCTCAAGCACATCCTGAAACAATTCGGGTGCATTTATTAAACCATATGGTAAAACTAAATATCTATATACACCAAAGGGTGTTGCAAAGCAACATTTCCAAGACGACTCTTCAGAAAGGAGTAAATGATGAAATCCTTCCGTTAAATCTAGAACTGAGAAAAATTTCTTTCCCTGTAGTTTAAAACTTAAGTCATCTAACGTAGGTAACATTTTGGGTTTTTTGACAATAATTTTATTCAAATCTAATGGGTCAAGACACAATCTTACTTTTCCATTTGGCTTCTCAACAATCACAATTCTATTTACAAATGCATTACTATTAATATTTTTAATCTTGACAATAGCTTTCCTAGATTCTAATCTTTGTAGTTCTAATTTCAACGGTTCAAGTAGACATGAAGGTAATCTTGAAGAAGGGTGACAAATTTGTACAGCTGTGGGCACAGTTGGAATTTCTACATATCCAGGCAATCTCCCTATTCCTTCAAAAACTTTAATATTTCTTTTTATAAAGTTTTCCTTATCATTATCAACAACAAGCGTGTGTACTCTCTTAATTAGGTTCAGAGATACACATGCTGGTAGACCTAACAACATGGTACTAGAATCAACTACCACAAAATTTTCATGACAGATATTTTCCTTATATTTACACATTAAATTTACAATCCCCATCGGTTTTATAATATTTCCCGCAAATGATTCAATTTTAATACTTGTTTCTTGTAACTTTATACCTAAATTTGTATTTAATTTTTCAAAAACTTTCTTTGGCATAACACTAACTTCTGCACCAGTATCTAACTTACATTTAACATATTGGTCCTCAATTAAAATATTTTCCATCCATTCTGTATTGTCCTCACCTGAATTTTTCACTTCACCACAAAAAAAACTTTCATTGGACTCCATATCCGAACACCTATTGACTTCCTGAACTTTTTTAACTCTGCAGCTCACTGCGAAATGATTTAAAATACCACATTTGGTACACTTTTTGCCAAATGCTGGACATTCCCTTGGACCGTGAACTTTTTTACAGCGACGACACTCAAATTTATGATCATTTCCTGGACCTTCAAACTTCTTTTTGTTAAAAATTGTGTTATTTTTGCCTCTACGAATCCTAGCTTCATCAATTTCTATTGTTGGGTTCATTTCCTTGACTTGGGAACGACTTACTTCACTTGCTCTACATATGTTTGCAACTTTGTCTAGTTTAAGATCATCCATTCTTAACAAACTTTCCTGGAGTCCTTTATCTTGGAGTCCCTGAACAATTCGGTCCCTTAGGAGCTGATCCTCTAAAGTTTCCTTGGTACTTTCGTAATTACATCTGGAGATGAGTTGTCTCAAGTTTGTATAAAAATTTTCAAAATTTTCATTTGGTTCTTGTCTCCGTTCGTTAAACTTAAACCTCTCAAAGACTTCGTTATATTTAGGGTTCACATATTTTTCAATTGCCGCCACCACTTTTTCATAAATTTGAAAATCCTTTTGACTCAATTTGAAACTTTGTATAACCTTTGTGGACTCCGGTCCCATCATATTTCTCAAAAGTGATAATTTTACCTTATCAGAGGCGTCATCCTTGCTGATCGCCACTAAATAATCTTCGAACACACATATCCAAAATTTCCACTCCGTAGATGCCGATTGAGATCGAATGTCAAAATTTGGTGGTAACTTAACCAGATTATTTTCCATGGTGCAACTTTTACATCGGTATATACACTATTACTGATTTCGAGTCGACTGCGCCATGTTATATGCGTAATGTATAATTTAAACACATAAATCATTAATGGTTGCTTGGTTTATTAGGGATTTAAAACACAACATTATAACACTAAACACAGCGAGACAATACAATACAACCACAGACAGTGAATCATAGATATTAATCATTCATCTTATTTTTTTAAAATTGTTTATAGCTTTGGTGATACATCAATACTTACTTGCACGAAACATTTTAGGAATATTGATAAAACAAGGTACAGACAGATCATTTACCCAAAACTGTCAATTTTCACTAACTGCCTAAGTTTTATAACATTTTGATAATTAAATTATAAAGACAAGATGTATTTTCACTGTTTTCAGAATATAATGAGAAAATTTCATTAATAGTGTTACGTTGGAATGTGTCTCTGCGTTTATGGTAGCAATTCGTTTGCCTTAATGTTAGAATCACAACAGCTGTACAAGAAACCTCGGAAAAAACCTTCAAGTAGATACTATGTAATATTTGAATCTTTCTCGAAATCAAAAAGCATCTAAGTCTTGTTACTTTTTTATTAAAAAATGCGTAATATAATTTTATGGTCAACTCACCGTTATTTTGGTCTCATGATTGGCCACACTAGATCTGTCACAAACGTCACTGTCAGTGTGTATTCGTATTGGCATCGCGGAATCGGCTGAATTTGAAAAACCTGTTGCCGGTAAACAGTTTGTTCTGCTAAATTTTAATAAAAAATGTCGGCTTTCCATGGATTCCCTGACTTACCGCCACCAGAGGAAACGGCACTATGTAAAATAGACGAAGTTTATTGTTGTGCCGATGCTCGCTACGGCAACATTAGCACTTTTACGAACACGGTAAGGTTAATCATGTTCGCCTACAAATTACTGTTATACACTCTATTAACCAAAATCTAATATTTTCAGACAAAAAACCATCCTGTTATTCACGTAACCAGAGACATCCACCACCATAGAACCACAGATGAAAACATTTCCATGTACATTGAAGTGGAAGATAACTTATTGAAGAAAATCACAAGCGTGTGGTACAAACAGGGATTTTTGGAAGCATTAGGCGTAGCCGCCGACCCTGGCGTAAATCGCGATGCTCCATTACTCGCAGTAGCCGCATCTTACGTTTTGAAAGTAGCAAATGTGTTCACTGCATTCAGATATTTTCTTCAACCACATTTGAAGGACATAGGGCCCAAAATCGTGTCCAATTATTCTAAGACAAGAAACTGGGGTAATGTGCCCGTTAAATGCTTGTCATGGCATCCCCATACAACTAAAATTGCTGTGGCAACTGCTGATGATAACGTCCGTGTTTATTGTTCTGAAGCTCAGTTTGTTTCAACATTGAAGTGTAAAGTGCAAGGACACGTGTCTTCACTTTGTTGGAGGCCGTTCTCAGCATCGGAGATAGCTGTGGGCTGTGAACGGGGAGTTATAGTTTGGACTGTGGATCCCAATTCTCTGTTCATGAAACCTTCCTCCAGCAATGCTGTTGTATTAAAAAGGTAAGGACTGATTTTGCATGATTGAATGTTATTATGGGGCCTAATTCAGACATGAATTTGTAAACCTAAAACAAAATTTGATGATATATCATGTTTTTCAGAGAATGAAAAGGAGAGATTGATGTCAAATTTAGTATTAATCATATCAGCATTGGGCCTATGAATCCTACAATTTATTAAATTAAATGATAGCATTTATTTTATGCTTTGATAGTATAAAGATTGGCTAGAAATACCTAATTACTATAAATACTTAATCACACTTCAATCATAGTTGTCAAATGTTTTTATATTATGCTGAAAAGGGTTTAATTATTATTACTGTAAAATCTTTTCTTAACTCATACAAGCTTGGATTAGTTACTTTATATTTTGTTTCTATTCATTGAATGACAAATGTCATTTGAGTGATATGAACTAAACACTTGCCTAAGATTATTCCTGTTTAAGAAGATTGATTATGAAAAAATATGTGTTACTAAGAATGTAATTATTTCTATACTATTTCAGTATGCCATAACAGACTTAGACTTTTATGTAAATTATTTTCATAAGCTTCTTTTTATTGGTAACTCCAATGGGGCTGGTTTTATAACATTTATTATCATAAGACTTAGATATTTACTCAATGTTCAGCATAGATAATTATACTGTTTTGAGAATATTTTCACTATCATTTTAATATAAAATAAATAAATATTGTTACATATTTACAGGTCAGGCCACAGTCCAGTGACAGATGTTAGCTGGTCTCCGAACGGTGATCTCCTAATAAGCTGCAGTGGGGCAGATACATCCATGCTTGTCTGGGATGTTGCCATGGAAACAGCTGTGCCACTACGTCGAGTCGCTGGTGGTGGAATCATATTTGCCCGGTGGTCTTTAGATGCCAGCAAAGTCTTTGCTGCTACATCTTCTTTAATATTTAGGTGAGTTGACTGGGATGTTGTGATATCTGTAGCTTAATATTTATCCAGAAATATATTGTAATTTGTCAGAATAGGGAGTGTAATCACCTTTGTAATTGTTCCGAAATTGTGTTGAAACTTAACTATTGTTGTGCAGAGCCGAGCGCCCTTATATACGCTAATCGAGGCATTAAAGATACATTTTGTTAAATTGAGAATACCTAAAAGTACCTTTACGCAAGTAACAGGCATGAGTTGTAAACAAGTTGGCAGCTGTCAATGCACCTTCAACCTTACGCCACACTGCTAAGACTCTTATTCGTGTTTGCAAACACTAGGGCCTCGTATTTCGTATTTATATACACCGAGTGAAGTTTCCAGATTGTTTGTGACAGTATATACACAGTATAATACATTTACATAGTTTCGTAATCCAGGATTTGGGAAACCAAACGCTGGACGCCCGCGCGCGCTGTTTTTCCGGGGCTGTTGCGATAACTAAAATTCAATATGGCATAGAACCATCTATATAGCATGCAGCTAGTTCATTCACGTGGTACTGTAAACCCTCAGGGTTTGGGAGACCAAACGCTGGACTCCCGAGCGCTGGTGCGCGCGTGGGAGCCGCGTGGTAGCCGCGTGCTGGGGGCCCGGGGACCTGCTGCTGTTCTTACGGGGCTGTTGCGATAACTTCAATTCACTTAACTTTCCGTGATAAAATTAATTTTATTTTTCGACATAGTCTCAGTGAACCTCCACGCACTTATTCCATCTTCGTTCTAAAGCAGTAATGCCTTCTGATCTGCTAAAACCATATCATGTACTTTCACGACCATTTCCGGAGTCGTGACGCTTTTTAGACGTCCGGGGCGGGCTTCATCTTGGACACATCTACGACCGCGTTTAAACTCACCCACCCAATTTTTTACTGTGGCATAAGAAGGAGCACATCCACCTAAAACATTCTTTAACTCGTCATTGATATCTTTCCCCTTCATGCCCTTCATATGAAAAAACTTTATCACCGCTCTTTGTTCAATTTTATCCATATTGAAAACAATTGACGAAATATATTTTCAGATGACAAAAAATCAATAAAATTTTCATGCCGCTAAATTCAAATTTAGAACACAGGTGGCCAGAGATAGGAATTTAAAAATGACAAATATATTTTTTAAATTATAACAATTTAAATAGCAGAGGCTAGTTACTTATCATCCCGCCCTCGTAGCATGCAGCTAGTTCTTTCACATAGTAGTGTAAACCCTCAGGGTTTGGGAGACCAAACGCTGGACTCCCGAGCGCTGGTGCGCGCGTGGGTGCCGCGTGGTAGCCGCGTGCTGGGGACCCGGGGACCTGCTGCTGTTCTTACGGGACTGTTGTGATAAAAATACAATTCAATATGGCATAGAGCCATCTATATTAGCATGCAGCTAGTTCGTTCACATAGTAGTCTAAACCCTCAGGGTTTGGGAGACCAAACGCTGGACTCCCGAGCGCTGGTGCGCGGGTGGGTGCCGCGTGGTAGCCGCGTGCTTGGGACCCGGGGACCTGCTGCTGTTCTTACGGGGCTGTTGTGATAAAAATACAATTCAATATGGCATAGAGCCATCTATATTAGCATGCAGCTAGTTCGCTCACATAGTAGTGTAAACCCTCAGGGTTTGGGAGACCAAACGCTGGACTCCCGAGCGCTGGTGCGCGCGTGGGTGCCGCGTGGTAGCCGCGTGCTTGGGACCCGGGGACCTGCTGCTGTTCTTACGGGACTGTTGTGATAAAAATACAATTCAATATGGCATAGAGCCATCTATATTAGCATGCAGCTAGTTCGCTCACATAGTAGTGTAAACCCTCAGGGTTTGGGAGACCAAACCCTGGACTCTCGAGCACTGGACTTCCGAGCGCTGGGGCGCGCGTGGGTGCCGCGTGCTGGGGTTCCGGGGTCTTGCTGTTGTTCTTTATACGGAGCAGTTGCGATAACTTCAATTCAATATGGCATAGAACCATCTATATAGCATGCAGCTAGTTCATTTACGTGGTACTGTAAACCCTCAGGGTTTGGGAGACCAAACGCTGGACTCCCGAGCGCTGGTGCGCGCGTGGGTGCCGCGTGGTAGCCGCGTGCTGGGGGCCCGCGGACCTGCTGCTGTTCGCCGCCAAGGGGGAGCCTGTGGTGTACGCGCTTACTAATACGGGGCTGTTGAGCGGTGAGACTTTAATCTTCTAATATATAAAATTCTCGTGTCACGGTGTGCGCAATTGAACTACTCCGAAACGGCTAGACCGATTTTCGTGAAATTTCATGTGCATATTCAGTAGGTCTGAGAATCGGACAACATATATTTTTCATCGCCCTAAATGTTAAGGGTCCAGCCTTAAATTTTTTTTTGGACAAATGTTTTTTGTTTATTTTTTTATGATACATCATACAAAAATACATACAACCTAAATTTTTAAGCCTGCTTTTCTTAAGCTTTAGATACTAGGAAAGTTTAAGCCAGCCTGTCCCATATTTAGACAGATAATAACATAATTTTATGACGACTCTGCTCTCTCTGAAATCTCCTTCAGATAAGAATTCTAAGCACACTCCAACAGTGTTACCAACTCTCAAAAATATTTATCCCTAAAGTTTGTGTCAAAAACCCCTAAAATCGCCTTAATTATTGAGTTGTCCCCCTAAAAAATGTATAAATATAAATTCATAAAGATTTAGAAATAATATGCTCTAATATGTTTCAAAAGCCTTTTAATAAAAATAAAAATAATAATAATAAGTTATTTAATACATAAAATATTACGTCTTCATCTGAAGATTCAGATTTCTTGAAATCATACATGTTACATAGAATACATTTAATATTTTATTGGATGAATTAAATGTTGTACAAGATCCACCATTTGATTTAATGTAAATTGGACCACCATGATGCTTTGCAACATTTTAATAGATAGTCTATTCCGTAACTTATTTTTAACGACATTATAACGACACACGCGGTTGAAATTGGAACAGTCGCAAATGCTGATCCGAATTTTGAAATATTTTTAATACGTTTACATTCTGCTGCGTCATAATCATGATAAACTTCAAAATAAAAATCAGCTGAAGAAGAAGGTATTCGTCCATATTTTATTCTTAAAAACCAAAATCTTAATAACAATAGTCGTAAGAATATTCTTAACCTAATTTTTTTGCGGTATCCTATCTGACATAAGCTAATGTCAAACATACGTTTAAGTTTAAAACAATATATAGTACAGTCAATCTGTCGAAAAAAATATCGTTTCAGTGAAAAAAAAACCTAAAGGGTAAGTCTTGTTTTTTCTGTTGCCAAATGACGTCAGTAAGCCACCTTGGCGATGGACATGTTCAACTCGTAGGCTTTTTTTGAAAAACTCAAAAAAACCGTCAAAAATTTTTTGAAACGCATTTTTCTTGTTTTGTATGCATTTTAGAAACTTTTTTTTGACCATAATTGTAGAGGGCGTTGAGTGCTACAATTTATGTCATCGTTGCAATCTCGTACAACAAAAAATGCGCATTGTAGGTGGCGCTAAAGTCTCAAAAAAAGTGTTTTTTCACTTTTTCACCCTGAAAATATCATTTTAATGGAAAACTTTAAATGGCAAAGTTGTTTCGTACATAATTACCAACAACTTTTGTATAAACAATTTTTTTGTATTACTTACCGTTTTCAAGTTATAAATTGCGCAGGTATGAAAAATCCAATAGAGCGGTTATGGGCAGTTCAAGTACACATTTGCAGTGCACATTTCAATGTACGTTTTTACTATTTTTTTCATGATTGAAAAAAAAATAGTAAAAACGTACGTTTTTTTAAGTTTTTCAAAAAACGCCTACGAGTTGAACATGCCCATCGCCAAGGTGGCTTAATGACGTCGTTTGGCACCAGAAAAAACAAGACTTACCCTCTAGGTTTTTTTTTTTCACCACTCAACCTACAGATTGACTGTACTAATAGACTTATACACAACAACAACCGCCATATGCACAGACAATAAAATGACCGCCAGTGGCGCCAGTATTGCTGCCAGTAACCACAGAGTGGTTGTAGAATTACGTACTAGATGTCGTTATAAGTCGCTGGGTCAAGAAATAAATATTAATATTATAATTTAAAAATATTAAAGAGTCAAAAAAAACCCTGAAAATACCCCTAAAATTTTCAGACCCGTAAAAAATCCCATCTCTTTTATTTATCTCTAAATCTGAGGGGAAAAACCTTATCATCTATTTCCCCTCACATGTCAAAAAGTAGTCATATAGTTTTATTTATATCAGATAGCACAATTTATTTGTTTGTGTAATGCCCTGCGTGAAGTCTGAAAGTTGATACAGGAATTTCATCATTAGCTTATTAATGTCCCCACTGCTAGGCACAGGCCTTACCTATGGATGGAATAGAGAGACTGGGCCATGACCTACCACTCGGGCCCAGTACAGATTAATGGGTGATAACGACTGCAGATGCAGCCGGGACCATTGCTTTAACGTGCCTTTCGAAACCCGAAGAGCTCGAGCCAAAAGGATGGAGGAGGAAGGAAGGACCGACCATTGCGAAAGTTGCTTCACTTTCACGATCGCAAGTCGAATTCAATAACCACCAGCACCACCAGCCCCTCAAAACTCCAACCAGAAACTCCAACCACAATAAATAATATTCATAATTTTTACCATTATCTATTTTCTCCACCTATTTAGGCGCCCAAACGAGTAAAGCTGTACCAGTATTGGATGTGACCAAAGTGGAACTTCATTCTGGGGACACGGTGGGCGGGCCAATCTTGGACATGTGCTGGGACCCAACTGGGAAATACTTGGCCATTCTGTTTGAGGAGTCACCGCTGGTCACCATCTTCTGTACTACACATCTTATGATGCAGCTGCAAATTACACCATGGTAATAATTTTATGTTTGGTCGACGACTATTTTAATAGCCTTACTTGCAATATATTCTGGCTGAGGTGACTTCATGATTTATCTCATATTAAAGACAATTTCAACTTGACGACTCTGAATATAATTTTATGTCGGTTCTTCTTAGTACACAGTAGAGTTGCAAACCGATGGCGTAGCTTCTCGTCATTCACAAGTGCTTGTAACAGCCTAAATAACAGCCTTATTTTAAGGGCATTTTAAGGGCTCCCACAAAACTGCGATGCGATACGAATTCATGCAGGAAAGATTTGGTAGGGTGACCATATCTTCAACGGATGGAAACTATTTTACTCGAAAATACTATGGTTAAAAAACGTAAGAAGATAATTATTATCACCATGACTACAAAAATTATCGTACAAGGGAAATCTCAGTGCGGACTAAAATGGTGTCACCAAGTGTGACGTAATGTGTGGGAGCACTAAATCTGCTATTTTCACCCGATTGAGAATACGCTTTATTTTGCTCATCTTCGACTAAAGATATTTTTTTGTGTATCACAATAAGTTCATCAGCTTCATCTATCATCATAGTTATAACCAGGCTATCAGTGTCCCCACTGCTGGGGCCTTCCCTATGGATGGAATAGGGAGATTTGGCCATGAGCCACCACCTGGGCCGAGTGCGGATTAGTGGTTGCTAATGACTTCAGATGTTTCTGCGGCAAGAATTCCCAAGTATAGATAGAGTTAATGATAAAGTGTGTGCTAGTTAATTTTTGGTCATCCATCCCATGACTGGTCATTTCGAAAGTTGCTTAACTTTTACGATCGCAAATCGAACGCTTTCACCACTTGCACCACCGAGTACCTCCTCGTCTTGTACCAATTTTAATTTAATTAAATCTATCTTCCAGTTGCTTCGTTAACGGTATTGACAACGAGTTACCTTCAACTATGGCCTTTCAACAAAACTTCACCAATGGAGCTTGCCTCACGATCGCCTGGTCCACAGGTAGAGTGCAACATTTCCCTATCGTATACAACATGTAGATCAGACTAGGATTGCCAAAATCAAAGTTAAAACAGAGTTGATCCCAGTTTCATACAAAATTTGATGATAAGTTACGTACAGCAGCAGTACGTAACAGCGAAAGTTGGTGACCAAAGAGTGTTTGAAGATCTCTTACCTAAACTAAGGTGTGTGTGTGATTAGAAAACCATTGCCGGTGCACCAAACTTACATAACAATAGAAAGAAAAGAAAATATTCTGCTAAATTTCTCCTAGTACTGATTGTTTTTGATAGTTGAACTGTATAATTAGATATCTGTGTCGATTCTGGCATGATTTTCTAAACATAAAACTAAATTTAACATCAGTCTCTCCTTTTTATTCTCTATAGAGTATGACAAGGATACAGTGTTGTCAAATTTAAATTTAGATTTGAGAATAATGGCAGATCGACACCATTGATGAAAATTTAAAACCCTTAGATGTAAAGCTAACATTCAGATAAGAAAATCAAATAAAATCTAAAGGTTACATAAAAATATATATAAAAATAGATCGGTCTCGAAAATTTAAACGAATTCGAATGTTGGCATAAAACTATCAATGAAATTGTGTGTGTCAGTTTGTATCTTGCATTGTGGTGAAACTTTGTAAAAGATAATTTTATGATTACAATGTAAATTGACTCTTACTGTAATTTTAAGTGATATAGTAAAACTGTAAATTATACTGTAAATAAAAGTCGATATAAGTATATTTTTGTATTCTTAACTCACTGTGTTTTATTCAGAAAATTACTTTTACTTGTATGCATTTCTGTAGTCGAATAAGTAATAGCAGAAGATGCATTTGTCATCGGTGTATCAGTATTTTTTAAATCTTTAATGGTTGGTTTTGAACGTTGAGGCTGTGGTTTCGTACCACCATTGGTAGAAATTTGATGGGTTGTTCTGGAAACACTGATCTCTTCTAGGTTTCGTCTATTTGCATCAATTAATTGCATGGTAAAACTTTCTGGTTTACTCCCCTTGTGTTTCTTACTTTTATTCTTTTTACCTTTCCCATGCTTACTCGTCTTGGTTTTAACTTTATCGCTTTTAGTCGTTGTTCCTAAACGTGCTACCAATTTATCTTTTATCTCAGTATCCAGATTCATTTGTACTTTAACGTAAACACTGTTTTTGTTATAATCACCCAGCATTAAAGTATTGCTGCTTCGTCTTTCAATATATTTGCCATTGCAAGTTGTGAACTTTTCACAGATGCTTCCTTTTACAACTTTTTTAAGATTACCCAAATCTAAGTCCAAGTTGACATTTAAATCTTGTGATATAGATAGTTGCAGTTTAGATTTAAGAGGTCTTAAATTTTGTGCAAGATCACTTTTAATATAAGTAACAGTGTTATCTACTACTTTATAAACGTAATGCTTTAATGCTTTTAAATTATCATCTTTGCCGTTCTTCTTGTCCAATTGAAGTACCGACGTTTCCTTTTTGAACATTTCTACGACTTTCTGCTCTACTAAATCACCTATTTCGTTAACAGTCATTACGACTGCATTCTTTTCGTTGCTCGTATCAGTATTCACATCTCTTACGTACATGGAAGCGTAATTTCTCAACGTACTAACAGCCGTATTGTTCAATGTGTTGTAAAAATCTAAAAGAAAAATTTTCAGCTCGCCGGAACATAGTTTGAAATTACCACAATTTCCTTTCATTGGATCACCTTTTCTTAATGCACCAGCAGCGCTGTCTCCATTGCGTTCTATGAATTGGCACACGATTTTGTATCGGTCAGATATTTTTTCAGTATCATCTACTATATGTGATAAAAAGTCGTGGAACTGCTCAAAAAACTGGTACAGTTTCATACCTGGAAACTTTGCGTCAATTTTGTTTGACCCCGCAGACCTTAAATATTGCTTCTTCAATTGCGACCACTGTTGATTCCACCTACGCGCTATCACTGCAGATTTTTCGATGCCATTCCCATTTCTCGGCATAGTGCCGTTTGAACGACTCTTCCATGAGCACTGATTGCCTATCAATTCTGCTATCATTTTGTCCAAAGTCTTCGTTACCATGTGCCGTGTTTTCTCGGAGACCGATTCCTTTAGCAGAGCTGTCTTTATTTTCTGTCTCATTTTCTTATACTTTTCGATGTCAGATTTCAATGGATCCTGGCGTGTAAGTTTGTAGTTTTTAAGCGTTTTCTTTTTGTTGGCCGGAGGCAGGAACTCTATTATAGTTGTTTCGTCATCTCCGTCCAACGTTATGTTGTTATTGTTTACGTTTTCGATCGAATCATTTTCATAATCCTGCAAGTATGGCTTGAGCTCTTCGATTTTTCTGTTTATAAGCTTTTCTATGCTCGAGTGTTTGTGTGTTCTGAAGGTGGGAATATCTGTTTTCACGGTGGAGTTCACGTAAGGCTTTACGATCTTCTGTAGAAAGTCGACGATTGTGTCAAGATCTGGTAACTTGCCTTTCACTTGGTAAGTTAGGGCGTGTGTTACTAGAAATGCTATCACCGCCAGTGCTGTAATAGAAAGTCTGGTATATTTAAACGGTGAACTGTGATTATAGATATAAGGGGGATGGAGGGTAACAATCGAACAGAGTATATACAGTAGAAAAAATAATTGACATTTTAAAATCTATACTGCAATTAGAAGCAATAAATAACTGTGAATTAAATTGCTTCGGGGTTGATAATAGAATAAAAATATCGTATCTCATCTCACCTTTCACGGACAATATTTTATTATGTGCCATAATGAAACTGAGAAATTTCAATCGTTACGTTTACGATCATGTTTTATTGCATTTCCTGTTCAAAACTTTATAAACTAGAGCATTTTATGACTAGCAATATAAGCAGCAATGGTAACGTTCGAACATTTATGTTGTTATTAACCACGCCTTCGTCATTGAAAAACCAAGAATGTAGGTATTAATTTCAGCAGGAAACAATTTTATAGGTACAGGCTATTTTATATGATCCGGTGGTCCCTGGCAGCACCCGAGAGGACCGCGAAGCCATTCGAAAAAATATGTGTTAAAATATTCAACTGTGCTTGTTGTACAAAACACAAGTGCGGTCCTGCGTGGAATATTGCTCGCACCTCTGGGATGGCTCCGCCAAGTACTTGCTCGATGCTTTGGATAGGTTACAGCGGCGCGCGATCCGCATCATAGGCGATGAGGAGGTGACTAAACACCTTGAGCCTCTTCAATTACGCCGTGACGTGGCGTCTCTAAGCGCGTTCTATCGTCTGCACCATGGCGAGTGTTATGAGGATTTATTCTCTCTTATCCCACCTTCTCCTTTCCTTCAGAGGACCACACGCGCTGGCCTACGATGTCACCGTCTAACTGTGGCCACAATTCCAACGCGTACAAAGAAATTTGGTGACTCATTTCTTTGTCGCATTATCCGTAAATGCAATGCTCTGGCCGCTCACGTGTTCCCTCCCTCTTACAACCTGGGATCCTTTAAAAGTGGCGTGAAGAAGCAACATGCAGGCGGGCAGGGTGAGGATGGCTGGTGTGGCAGGTAAAACTGCTGTATCAGCTATCTTCACGTCACGTCTGGACTTCACCTTCACTTAACATCAGGTGGGGTGGAGTCATTTGTTGTACCTATCTAAAAATTATTATAATAAAAAAAAATATGACATAGGTAAGAACACTGATTGATTTACTAATTGGGGGATTGGGGACTGTTCTAGTTAAAAAGAGCTTAGACTAATCATGCAGCGTTTTGTTCGCATCACCCAAATTACGTAGTGCTTCGATGAACAGAGACAAAAGCACCTTGCAGGCCGGCAGGGTGAGAATAAAAAGCGGAGACAGCTAAGCGCATGTAAATATGTAGGTAATAAGGACATACTAATTCTTATAAGAGAAAATTCTTCCATTATGTAAAACTCCGGTAAAGATTTATAAATATAAGAGGATAATTGTACCCAGTTTCTAAAAACAAGAAAATCATTGGCAAATGGTTGGAAAGGACATTGCTCGTTCCCCATACATTGAATGCCCTAGAACGCCCAGCAATGAGAGAATGCTAGTTGTGCTCGGAATTATTCATAACCTCTAATTAAGCATTTGTTGAGATACGGACAAGTTGAGGAACCGTGGACTACTACAGAATGTATTAGATTTTGAGGTTATAATTATTATATTTAATCGTAAAAGATGTACACTTTATATATTCTGAATAGATTTAGTGTTTACCTCTATGTAAGCACTTAAATAATATACATTAAATGAACATAAAATGTAATTAATAATAAAAATAAAAAATGCTTATATTCATATTGATTTATGAGTGTTGTCAGTTGGCACCTATGATACCTATACCTACCTGTAGTAGGTAATAATAGATTTCTTTTCAAATGAAATGTTCAATGTTTCCATTTACCTGTTTCTATATTTTACTATCGGTAATTAGGTGTGTACCTGGTTAAATAAACAGATATTACATGGGATGGGAGTATAAACTATCTTTACATAATTTCAGAAATAATCTTTTTATAAATATAATATAAATACTAGTAATAAGTATTATTAACTAAGGTATCTAGTTCTATTTTTATCTTGATAAATACCTATGGTCGCCTTTATTGCATTTATTAAGGTAAACAATCTTGGCACAACTTTTTAACAGAATCACCCATTTAATAATAAAATATTAACGAAGCCATTAAACTATTAAAATAAATCGTTATTATAGACTGAAACCTATTGAATCCAGTTTTCAGTTTTATTGCTGTATTTTCAATAAAAAGGAGTGCCAAGTTGGATGAACAGACTGTAGTATCTAGTAACAGAACTTTTATTTTTTTAAACAGATTGTCCGTTAACTATGATTAATTGCTAATAAGTTTAAAAAAATATAGAAAAATAATAGTGAAGGACATTCTTTTGGGCATGATAGGGCCGATTTCGTCGATGTCCTTTCAATATATAGACAACCCAAAGTGAGTTTGGATTTTGCTTCAGCCCTTTGCGATTAATAGTTCGATGCCCTTCCGGAGAGTCTATACAGGTAGGTCTTGCGCCCGAGTACTTTTTTAATTTTATATCGACCTATCTATATTGTTTTAAAACATTTTTGTCTCTCCCACATAAAACCTCTTTTTTTTATTTATTCGGCTGATGTAGCCGGAAAAACTGGCTTAACAAACTGTTTCCGTGTCTGGAATTCACCTTCACTTAACACCAGGTAGGGTGGAAACATTTAACCGATGTTTTTATAAAAAAAAGTGCTGCTCAACGCCCACTTTCACCTCGGTTCCAAAGCCAATAGCAAGATGTCTTATAAAGAAACAGATGTAAGTCGGTAGATCGTAGGTTTGTTGTATATAAAAGCTTTACGGTTCTTAATTAATCTTCAATCATTATAATATAATATTAACATAGATTTAGCTCTAGTCACAGGTTAAGGAATTATTTCTGCAGTAGTCTGAGTTGATTATTACACAATCCTCAACGATCCCCTGACACTTAAGTAGGAAATGCGGGATTTCTACCAAATGAAAATCTAATTAAAATTATAATAACTGTTAGATGTGATTATTAGAAGGAAATTACTGCTGCACTTATTAACAACTAGCCGTGCCCCGCGGTGTTACCCGCCGTTTATTAGGGATATTTTCTCGCAGTAGAACGTAGCCTATTTAATCCAGGGTGTCAGCTAACTCTATACCAAATTTTATCATACAAAATCGCTCCAGCCGTTTAGACGTGAAAAAGTAACAAACATACATACTCACAAACTTTTATAATATTAGTGTGATTAACACTAAAATTGTAGGTACCTTTAAAATAAGATAGAGCGAGTTATTAATTAATAAATTCAAACGATCATTAAGCAAAACAGCATTTTATTAACAACATTACATAAAATTGTCGTACTGTATATAACTCAAACATAAAATCATCTAAATATTTATACATAATAATTATATAAGTTTATCAAGTAGGACGTACAAAATTGCAAAAGCCCACTGTTCATTAAGCCTAATACTAATATTGCAACATTGGTATCACTTGCATGTTAAAAACTTAATATAATAATTTAAATAAGTTGTTATTTAATCTTTTCATAAAATTGATAAAAATGTTTAGAGCCTCACAAATGTTAAAGCCGATATCTCTTAGAATTTCTTACTATAAATATTTTACGATTTATATAAAAACAAATCAAAGATATAAGTGTTAAAATGTACATGTCGCTCATTGACTTTCGTTTTCATTAGAATTACGATATTATTTAAAAATAAAATATATTTAAGTTTGGTTTGTCGTCAATATCTACAACAGGTGTAAGTAGATCAAAATAATCATAATCAATAATATTTTAATTGAATACATGCGGAAATGTATCAAAAAAATATATTGAAAAAGTTCCGTAATATTTAAAAGGAAGTTAGAAGTCGTACAATCATCTTCCATACATTAAACTTATGTACTAATTATGTCTTAAAAGAAACCTCTAAATTGTAGATTTCATATCAACCATCGATAGCTTTTTTATTTTTTAAGCAACGGATACAATGCTTTTCAGTTTATGGCGTTGCTGCAAAATCGTACGTGGAAACTACTAAAATGGTAGTTGTTTTTCTAACCTAGCAACACTGTCCGAGCTAACGACGTAACCTATCTATTCGAGTAAGTTGAGTTTGCTGTTCGTCTTGCGTAGTTGCGCCCGCCACGGTATGATTTTGGCGCTCTCGTCTTCAGCATCGTCTTCATGTTTCCCGTTTGTGATGGAATGGCCTGTAATTAAGAAATGTCTCAATATAATACGTTGTGGAATAGTTAACCATAAAAAACTTTTTACCAAAATAAATAAACCGCCGAAAAGTAAAAATCAAAATACATTTTTCAACATAAGGGCTCACTTCTCGAACACTGGATAAAATTTATCTATCTCATATTGTATATTATACGGACAAAATAAAAGTGTCACGTGGCGGATGACATCTCTCTCTCTATTTAATTAAGTATTAATTTATTGAACAGTTAAGTTTTACCCAAGTTTTTGTCCGGTCCTTAGTCAAATTATTATTTGGAATCCGTCCCAGGCTAACCGAAGTAGTAAATGGGAACTCAGATCTGTCAGACCTGCATGGTTATTGTTTTTTACATTTTGGCGGTTTATTTTTTTTGTTAAATAAGTTTTTATTTTACAATTTTTGTGGCTATTATTTCCCCCAAATTTTTCACCCTTAGGGTGTTTTTTTTTCCCAAATTTATGTCAGACCTAATTTGATGTGTGGTCATACATTGCAATCAGTGAGTGAACAATCAATCATCCCCTGTTTTGATACCCTTTCGGGTTGGATTTTTTCCAAATTCATATGGGACCAAATTCGGCGTTCCAATAAAAAAATAAATCATTATCAATATCGGGCAACTCTGTAAAAACTAAAAAGTTATGCGTGGTCATACATAAAAAAAATTATACGCGTCAACTTGAAAACCTCCTCCATTTTTTCCGTCGGTTAAAAAGATGCATCATCATCATAATCAGCAGTAGGTAAGTATTAACTGTAGATATTAATATCAGTGCCACTCAATAACGGATGCAACTTTGATCACTTCCTCGAGATAAGTTTATTCCGATGTTAGAGTGTCTTATTATTTAGTTTAAGCTCTACCAAAGTTTGTTTATGTGTACCCCGTCTTTGTGTTTTAAAATGAATAAATAAAACTTAATATCCACAAATTGCTTTATCCCGCTTCATTGTATAACATAAATATAACAAATAAAAAAAAACATTATTTTCAATGTTTTGTTCTGCGTTACATCATTAGCCTTTTCTCAGGCTAATAAAGAAATCATAATCCTCTCACTTTCGGCATAACAATAGATTGATACCTAAACGAAAGCCATATTACCCCTAAGAAATCGCCAATCGAACCATCGGAAATCGCATCAGATACGGACTAGATCGACTTTTAATAGGACCCGCAGATCATTATACCGTTTGCACGATGCATACTTAATCATAATGTTTTCCGGATTAGTGGATGGTGTGGCATTCATTAAGGTTCTTTAAATGAGCTACTGATTACTTCATTAATACAGTTTGTATTACATAATTCTTTGTAATATAGATTGCTATATATATACTTACACAAGAATAATCTGTGCAATGTGGTATATTGTAAGTTTGAAGTTGAGACGAACCGTTGCAATGATATCAGGTGACATTGGCCACTGAAAGCGCGCGCGCACGGGATGCGAAGGAGTGTCGCAGCACAGCGAGATGTAGTCTATGGAGACGGCGCGCTGGGTGCCGTGCGAGAAATTCGTCTCCTCAAGATTAGGTGTGTACAATGCTGATGTTAAAGAGGCCATAAGTCTGAAGTTATTTATTTATGATACGAACCGTTGCAATGGTCAGAGGTAAGCTTAGCCTCTGATGGCGCGCGTACGGGATGCGAAGGAGTGTCGTAGCACAGCGAGATGTTGTCTATGGAGACGGCGCGCTGGGTGCCGCTCGGGTACGCGCGCCACTCGCCGTTAGTAGTGCCGTTGGAGCAATTCGTCTCCTCGACTTTCGGTGTGTACAGGGATTGTCTGCAAATAATGGAAATATTGCTTTAACCACAAACATTGGTTGTTAGAGCACATTGTTTGTCTTTGATGCTTTGATTTTTGTTCATTTAAACATAGACGACAAAAAACTAAACAGAAATCCATCTACTCTGTTCAGGCTGCAATTCTTAAAATAAGAGAAGCCATCAAAATTTTCACCTGTCTGTTTTGTACGTCTTCCCTCTGTTTAGTAGCTGACTCTTGCACTCGCACAGTTGCAACAGCAGCCCTTTATTCCGCTCCTACCAAATCTCTCTAAATATTTACCTTCTCCGGTTCTAAATTTATTTAACCTCTTCTATAATATGTATGTGTTGTAAAATATGTCCTCCCTCTATTGAAGCAACAGCTGCTTGCACGTGAGCCTTATCAGAGAAACACGACAAAGAATCCCAGTATTTTTACCTCGGTCTGTTCTCAGCCTTTTCTCTGCGTTATAGCAGCTGTCTTCCACGCGAGCACTGCAGCGGCTCTTCTCCTCACGAGTTCACTCTCCAGATCCCTTTGCGCCTTCTACCTCTCCTGTTAGCTACTGTTTCTAAGAATCCCTCAACAGTACTCTTACCTCAGTCTGTTCTCAGCCTCCTCCCTCCGTTATAGCAGCTGTCTCTTTCATGCGGGCACTGCAGCGGCTCTTCTCCTCACGAGCTCACTCTCCAGATCCCTTTGCGCCTGCTACCTCTCCTGTTAGCTATTGTTTCTAAGAATCCCTCAACAGTACTCTTACCTCAGTCTGTTCTCAGCCTCCTCCCTCCGTTATAGCAGCTGTCTCTTTCATGCGGGCACTGCACCGGCTCTTCTCCTCACGAGTTCACTCTCCAGATCCCTTTGCGCCTTCTACCTCTCCTGTTAGCTACTGTTTCTAAGAATCCCTCAACAGTACTCTTACCTCAGTCTGTTCTCAGCCTCCTCCCTCCGTTGTAGCAGCTGCGTCTTCCACGCGGGCACTGCAGCGGCTCCTCTCTTCACGAGTTCACTCTCCAGATCCCTTTGCGCCTTTTACCTCTCCTATTAGGTACTGTTTCTAAGAATCGCTCAACAGTACTCTTACCTCAGTCTGTTCTCAGCCTCCTCCCTCCGTTGTAGCAGCTGCCTCTTCCATGCGGGCACGGCAGCGGCTCTCCTCCTTTCCGCCTCTCCCGCTAGTTCTCTCTCCAGATCCCTCCTGGCCTTCTCCGCTGCTCTCCTGGCCAGCATCTGCCGCTTCCACGCCGGGATCACGTTGCCGGCTGCGTCTCGCTCCGGGATCTGTGGACATCCCTGCCACCGTCGACCAGCCGCCCTACGTTCACGCTCAAGTCCAACACCGTCGACGCACATCGATGGTGTTCGACAGCACTTGTTTTTTTTAATACAAGGTGTAAAAAGACCTCTTAAGGAAAACGAAAATTTCGAAGCAAGTAGGTGTTTCTTAACACCTACATCTATCCATATAGGTAGAATTAGTTAAAATAAAAATATATATGCTTGGAAGTCGCTTTCATTTTGGTATTGTGTGGATATGTATACAACTAAGCAACTATAATTGTGCAGTTATGAAAGCTTAACAGTATTGAGTTGTCATTAATTCATTCCAATAAAACTGCTTTAACGATCTACATATTTTAAACGAATGATAAGGTAAGTGATGCAAATAAGGCCTACCTAATTTCAAACACTCTTATCATGATAAATTATTCAAAGAAAATGTTAAAAAAAAAACAAGGCATTATTCTTGGGTTCATAAATTTTAAGTAATTAAGAAAATAGATTACAATCTTTTATCAGAAATCATTTAAAAAGAGCTTATTGTGGAACCTTAGCTTTAGGCCTATTAAAAACATGGTGACTTAACAAAGCCTATGTACTTTAATTATAGAAATATTGTTATTATAGTATAAATTATATTAAAATACGTATTTCTAAGGCTTTAATCCAGTGTTTCCATGGGATCCTTGAACAACATTCTAAGTTGTTTTACTAAATATTTTGTTTAAATTGCTAGTCAGATTTGAAGTCGCATTAACACGAAATAAAGAATAATAAAAAAAACCATATCCATACAAACAAACAAAAATTAGCAAATTAACATATCTTCTCATAAATATTATTAAATATTGGAAAATGAATATATTTTGATGGATGTATTTGATAAGTACATTATACTTCATAAAAGTTATAAGAATATTTAATTCGCATATTCTTTAAATAAAATTTTAGTTCATAATTAACTTTTAATTATATTGTGATCCGTTTACATTACACAAAACAAAACTTTAAAGAATGACGTAATAAAATAAAAATTACGACAATTTAATAACGCGCTATAAAAACGCTCGTCCATCACAAAGTACCGCCGCTACTGACGCTATGAGCTCGAGCGGACCGCTCGTACACAGTTTGCCGAATTGTAGAACTGTCGTCTATGCGTGTGTAAAGTATTTTTGTATGTAAATATATTTTAATAGATTTTTCTGTACTACATGCCTTATTTAGCATAGGCCTTATTTGTATCAGGTACCTTAATTCCATATATGACTGTTTTTACTAGATATTTCGCAACTGAGCAACTTTAAGTGCATTATTTAATACTAAAATTGTAATAAAAATCATAATTTTAAAATAATATTATCAGAAAGTTTATGTCAAACATTTTCGTCTCCGTTAAGGGAAAATTTACATCATGTATTTCAAAGTTATTACAAGTTTTAGGATCAGATAAGTTAATGTTATTCTAACCAAACATACTTGCCATCTAAGTAAGTAATTACACATCAATTATTGAAATAATACTAATCCTTACACGATAATTGTAAAATTTCTTATCAAACCCTTATAACTTATAATATCTAGAACTAAGCAATCAAGAAAGGCTCATTAGAGATTGACCATCACGTTGCTAATTTAATCTGCTAAATATTTTAATGTAAAGAAAATACTAGAAAAATATCCAGTCGGCCCAAGTTTCAAAAGGGATTAGAACCAGTATCTTCCGCTATCCAGGCGGAAGCACTAACCAATTAAGCTAAAGAGAACTTCTCTCTCTTTTCTTGAGAGAGAACGGTCTCGGTAACATAATTCTTAATTCCCTTATTTATATTTCTACAGATTTAGAAATTATTAAGTAATTATTTATAAAGTTTTCCTCGTTATTATAATGATCGTTACAACAACACGTTAAATGAACAAGTTATAGTTTTTAATTAGTAAAATCCGGCTCGAGGGACCATAAAATATATAATAAACAAAAAACGGAACCTAGTTATATCCAGCTGATTCATAAAACACATAAAGTAAAAAAAATATGGATATATTTATTTACAAGACCATTAAAAAGTTCGCACTAAGTAATAAATATTGGTTCTAATTAAAGTGTTGTGTTCTTAGTATGGGCCGTTATTCGAAGTGATGTTACGAACGAGTTACATCACACGCGATCGTCATTGACCATGAATCTAACGGTCAGCGAACATAAAATCGATGTTTTGTTTTTACATTTTACTTAATACACGATACCTCACGATTCGCATCCTCCTGCATCATACGAATCGTTAAGGAATGGAATCCTTTCCTGCGCCATTATTCCCCGAAACCTATATTTATGATATATAGGGATCTTCAAAGCAAGAGTAAATACGCATTATTTAGAAAGAAAGTATTTTTATTAGTCTTAAGCACAATAATATTTACATAAAAGACGACCTCCGTGGCCGAGTGGTTTGTACGCCGGGTTTCATGGTGTCGCCTACTCGAGAGGTCCCGGGTTCGAAACCCGGTGGGAGCAGATGTTTTTGTGATGAATACGAGCATTTGTACTCCAGTCATGGATGTTAAATATGTATTTCTATATAAATATATTTATATATGATAGTATAAATATGTATTCTATCCGTAACCCTATTATCCCAAAACACAAGCCTTACAGTGCCTGAATGGTTTGTTTGAGTCTGCGTGCTGCAGCTTAAACCACATCGTTGCTGAACATCATGTCAAACGCCAACGAAATAAAAGGTTTTTAATATTTTTGTCTAACGCACTCAAATCTCGTATAAAAAACTTGCCGAAAAACACCTAATTTTGTATCTAATACTCAAATTTATTCGATTGAAGCTTTTATTTTATCATCGGAGTAAAGGATGAGAAAATGATTAAAACTAGTTTTTTACGGGTTAATGCACGAAACTTTATTTATTTATTGACGTTTCGTAGCCTTTACAGGCTACGTCGTCAGAATCAAATTTTATTTAATTTTGTCGAGCTACCTTCGAAAGACTTTTTATGACCTAGCCTAGCCTGTAAAGGCTACGAAACGTCAATAAATAAATAAAGTTTCGTGCATTAACCCGTAAAAAACTAGTTTTATTTAATGAGTGATGTGCGTGAAAACCTAAGAAACAAATATGAGAAAATGATATCACAAATGGAAAGCAGATTGTAATGCGTAGGTAGATCATATAATCATATTTTATATAATTCAAGTATCAGACGTAATGAAATATTGTGCATGCTTTTCATATTAATAGAACAAGTTGGCTTGAAATAACCATCAGTCTCAGAAGATCCATGATTAATCGAAGCAGGTTTTTTTTTTTCGTTGAATCCTGATTTCAAGTTCTGGATTCTATCTAGTTGCTGAATTTGTGGCTGAATGCAGTGTTCTTTGAGTCAAAACACACGGTGTAATGTAACTATATATAATACGTTATTTAATTTCCTTACCTACCAAGTTCGTCTTAGTTGGGATATCAAATAAATTTGATTTTAGGTTGGGACAAAATAAACTTTGTGAATTGTCCCGAATTTTTTGTAGTTTCTTTTTCAATTTTCATCTGTCTTGGATGGCACGCGTTTCTATATCTCTTGTTTAAACAACGGCTTTGCAAATTAGTAAAACAGACAAAAGTACACGTTTTCTAACAACTTCTTAGAGATTATAATTTTTATTATTTTAAAGCATGTAACTGCTTGATGTTTAAATCTAAAGAAAATATAACTAGAAAAAATTCCACGCGGACCAGGCAGCAGACGGGACTCGAACCCCGTTGTGGGTTTACCTATAATGCGAAGAGATGGCGCTGCCTTGCAGCTTAAGAATAGCTAGAAGGAATTTCGACGCGGTCCGTGAGGGCCGCGGTAGCATAATTGGTCAGTGCATTCGCCCGGATTGCGAAGGGTGCGGGTTCGAGTCCCGTCTGCTGCCTGGTCCGCGTGGAATTTTTTTCTAGTTATATTTTCTTTAGATTTAAACTTCTTAGAGAGTCATATCGCTATTTCTTTCAAGAGTTTATTTCATAACATTATGACAAGCGATCTCACTAGTACATATGTGTGGTACTTAACAAACCGAAACAGCTGATTCAGCGTGATAGTGTAGGCGTTAAAAACTTTTCTTAGAATAGGTGTCGCTATATGAGAAAATGTTTTCACCGGGTACGCAAGCGCAGCGTTATACAAACATATTTACGGCATCCGAGTTATTAAGTAGATTGCGCGTCGCACCGTCGCCGGTCGGTGGACGGAACCGATGTAAAATTGCACAGATTAATTACCGATATAAGTAGTTATCTGGATTAGAAGTAACAGACTTTTTCGTTCGTCGTCATGCCGAATTTCCTTTAAGCCCGTCTGACGGTAATAAGCTACCGTAACTTATCCTAGTTGTTTACGCTACTCAATTAAAATAAAAACTTATCATAGGATTATGTACTTCAGAACATTATTATCTTCAATTTGTATTCTAAATTATTAACAGCCAACAATAAGCAAGCAATATAAATAGGCGGTCTTTAGAAACATTTTCATTGCAGTGGCGATACTAAATCACTATGTGACATTAGCGATCATAGTAAAATTTTATGACATTCTTATACCAAACACAAAACCGTTCTAGATTATGTTTTTAAATTTCTCTTATGCATTAATTTCTTTAACTATAATTATTCCTTAAACATCAACGGTCTTAGTATAAAAAAAGTAAAATTTGTGTTTAACTATTTTGTGGTAATAAGGCAAAAGTTCCAGAACTGAAATTCGCCGCAGATTTAAAAAAAAAGATGCCGTAACCGAGACGTCACGAAGTGCATTATTGATCATAATTTTATTCCCATCGCCATCTACGCCGATCGCTATTGTTATTTAAACAAATAAGAAACCGCCAGCGAAAGTGGCTTTATGTATGATATCAATTAAGCTAGTTTTGAATGAAAAATATTTATTTTGAGCGAATGTTGCGCCGGCGCAGTTTTCACGCTTTCACTGCGCGATGGCGGTGCCTGCGCAAG